GAGGCTGCAATGCTTGGTAAGAAATGTACACATTATCCTGCCCATGCAATTGTAACCCCTCTGTACAGTATGTTCACAAATAAAATAAAATTAAAAAAAATTAAAAAAAAAGAGAAAGCAAGACAAAAAAAATAACTTAACATGTTTGTATTGAAGTATAAAACGAATTACATATTTCTATACCAAGCAGTAAAATCTAATAAAATTTTAATTTTTGAATTGGTCAAAAAAAAAAAAAAGAATTCTTGGCCTATAACCTCCTGGTATAGAGACATCTGACTTGGTAAAAGAAAATGAAACATCCTAATTTTCCCTTTTGTTCAAATGGTTAGTTTTTGACAAATGCAAGCTCAGTGTTACTGGTGAGTGTTCTTTGCTTTTCTTCCTGTGTTATTGCCTGGGGACACATTTTTTTTTTAATGCTGTGGAGCAGAGCAGCACGTGTGTTTGTAGGATCAAGGGAACATTCTAACCTAATGAGAGTGTGCACTTCCCAGGGCGACCTGTTGGAATTCTGTGCCTGGAGCCCTCCAAGAGGCAGCAGCTGCTCTCATTTCCTCATTCAGACAGGCACTGCACTCCTCACCACAGCTGCAGCCCCCACCTCCAGCTCTGCAAGGACTCTGAAAGGGACTTGGAGTGTCTGGGTTTGACAAGAATGAAGGAAAGAAATGGGGCAACTGGCTTCCTAGGGTGACCCTCAGGAACACTGAAGTGGGGGCCAAGAAGCCATGACTACAGCAGGGAAAGAGATTCACGTTCAGGCTTTGCATGATCAGCAAAGGACATATGGATGACAGCTGTCTCTTAGAGCAGACCACACTGGGCATCTCCGGGGATAAAGGAGAGCTCTCCAGACTCTTCTGGAAGGTGGTTTTTGTTCAAGCGAGCTATTTCCAGTGATACTTAATGTTGATTTTTGATTTTCCAAAATGGATTCCATCTAGCCTAGCAATTCTGAAAGCACTTCCACAGTGTGCAAAAGGGAATGAGTTTTTTTGTCTTTCCTTCTGTGCCTTTTTCTTATTTTTACTTAACTAAGTATGGTCTTTATGAGTTCCTGGACAAAACCTGTTTCTGTGTTGCTCAATTGGGAAGAGATCTGTTGATGGTGATGCCTATTTGTCACTCTGCCTCCAAAGCAAGCTGAGCATTCATGCAGATACAGTGTAGATGATCAAGCAAGAGCCAACACTGAAAGCCAGCAGAGTTTTCAAAGTAACAACTTCAGGGTAAATACTAGAGATGGCTGAGGATACAGAAGACAGATAACAGGTTCATTTCAGTATGGAAGCATTCTGGATCGCTTATAATTATGGCATTGTCAATCTGTGAATGATGACAATTGTGTCATATCTAAAGAGGGATTAGGCAAATTTAATTTCTTCTAATCATGATCTCTTTGCCTGTGGCCTGTGGGCATTCAGTATGCTGTTTCATCTATGTATCTATCGATGTTTTATAATACATATGCAATTCATATATAATCGTCAATATATATGAATATCTAGCTCATGTTTTGGGACACTAGGTAATAAAAGTGGAATAAACATAAATAAATCATTACGGTATGTTTTATGTATTCATTGTCCATTGTATATGTTATTCAGATTTTCTTTTTTTTAATTTAATTTAATTTTTTAAAATTTAATTTAATTTAATTTGTGAACATACTGTACAGAGGGGTTACACTTACATGGGCAGGATAATGCATACATATCTTACCAAGCATTGCAGCCTCCTCCTTTGTTTCCCCTTCACATCCCTTCCCAGCCTCCCCCCTCCCAATCCCAATCCCAATCCCAATCCTTCCCCTCCCCCCCCAAGATTTTCTTTTTTTTTTTTTTAATGTATGTGTATCCTCAGATTTCAGCTTCCTGAGTAGCTAGGATTACAAGCATGAGCCAATAGTGGCTGGCCCACACATAATTTGCTCACACAAACACCATAGAAGCTATTCAAAGCTGTGTGTCTGGTCAATAGGACCAGAAATTGGTCTATGGGGTCAATCACTTATCAGGACAGATAGAGACCTGCCATCTTGGAAATATGATTCTTAAAGTATGGCATCCTGCTGGTCACAGGTGGACAGCAGACAAGAACTAAGGGTAGCCATTTCCAGATCAGAGGGTACACATGCCAGTGGCTCTTTGCAGACCAGGCTGGGAGTTGCTCAATTTATTTTCATGCTCTCCAATCTATGGAGGCCCATAGATACTTGGGAACACAGGCCTGAATTTAATAAAAATGTCAACATGATTCCTTCTCACATTGATTCAACCATTAACTTAATACCTATAAAACTAGGAAATAGCTATTTCTGTATGTTTTAATTTAGGTCTTCAAAGTCAAGCTGCTTCTGGGCTGTTAGGAACAATTTCTTGAATGTTTATAATTATAACATAAAAGAACCAAAATTACAATTAATCTGCCTATGTTCTACCACATTTCTCTGTTTTGTTCTGATTTTGTTGCCCAACCTCTGATGGTATGTGTGTGTGTGTGTGTGTGTGTGTGTGTGTGAGAGTGAGGGGGGGATCACTGATAGATTCCTATTTTAGGTATAATATGCCACATGTATTGCTAAAAATACAAAATGAGGCATAGTCAAGTGACATTAACATAAGAAGTTCTGAGTCTGTAGATTTTCTTCTTCTTGTTATTATTTAAAAGTGTATTCCTTATTTTCATCCATTATTTTTCCTTAAAGTTGAAATACAATGCCTGCACTTTGCTGCAATTAGTGATTTTTAAAATAAGTTCTGTTTATATGCTATACAAACAAAAGATTTTATTTGTTTCTTCAAATTACTGCTAATGATTTGTAAGAATTAGCATTAGACCACAACTAATTGACTTGTTTGTTTTTTAGGGGTAGATAAACAGAATTGCTTAATGAAAGTATTAGAAGCCTGAGATGAAATATTAGAAAATACAATACTCATTACCTTTATACACACAATGCACACATGACATTTTAAAATAATTTTGGAAAAAAACCTAAATAAAGTAATTTTATTTTACTTTTACTTAAATTAGAAAGAATTATTTTAAAAATTCAAGATGGAGCCAGTGGCTCACACCTATCATTCTTATTACTCAGAAAGCTGAGCTCTGAGGATCATGATCTGAAGCCACAACTGGCAGGAAAGTCTTTTTTTTTTTTTTAATTCTGAAAATACTGTACAGAGGGGTTACAATCACATGGGCAAGATAATGAGTACATTTCTTATCAAGCATTGTAGCCTCCTCCTTTGTTTCCCCTTATCCGTTCCCATCTGGCCCCCCCCCCCACCCCGCACCAAAGTTATAAAGTTCATTTTTGACATAACGACTTGTACATCTCATTGTTGCAATGGGTCCACCTGTATCCCTATTTAAATGATTTGTTTTTCCCCTTCCCCTCCACAAATTATACCGACATCAAATACAGTGAAAGCAGGGGTTATACCGTGGGGGAGGGACATACAAAGCAACAAAGAAATAATCTTATAAATGTGTTAGTAACAATCAGTCTATGACATTCTTATCACAATAAACCAGAAAAAATGCTAGAAATGGACCTGTAGCTCAAGTGTTAGAGCACAAGCCTTATGTGTAAAAGCTATGGGACTGTGCCCAGGTCCTGATATATCCTGATATATATATACTGGTACTTAAGAGCTTGCATATATATACATATATATGTATATAGACATATATATGTTTTTATTTTTAGTCATTTTAGACTGCTTTTAGCGTAATATTTTCTTCTATCAGGTTAAGTCTTTCAGATTTTCAAATGGACCTTTTTCTTTACAAATTTTTTCCTAACAAGTTCTGGCAAAGAATGGGTGACATTTATTTTTCAAAGCAATTTCTATATTGTGAGTTCAAATCACATCATGTAAAATATAATATCACACTAATTTTAACTAAATATTGTTCATAGTTATGTTCTGTCTTGTCATTCAGGTTGACAGCTTCTTGATGGTTGAAATTGACCTCTTTGTTTTTTGATTACTATTTCCACCGTGATAGTATCCCTAATAATTATTAGTCTTAGATCTTGTATCAGATCTGTTCTGCAATGTATATTGCTAACAACTTTGCTTTTCTACTTTCTGCCTATATTTGCATGTGCCTTCATTTGAAAACTTACAGTGTATCATTTATTTCTTATGCAATTGTGTTGTCCCTACATTAACAGTAGTCATGTAGAGAGTTAAACACATTTTAATTTTCTTCTCTCTTACTGTTAAGAATGTTACTTTGCAAGGAGAGCTGTCAAAATAGAACACAAATCATTTAAAACCTAGTAAAAGGCAAGATGTTTAGAAAAGAAGTAAAACACTTTAACGCTCATAAAAAATGAAGAGAATATAAAGAAAGCCCTTGCACAGAGACGGTGAGTCAGAAGTTCCACACTTCATCAAAGACTTAAAAAAAAAGAAGACAAAGAAAGAAACCAGATGCACATTTGGGGCCCATCTATGGAAAGTATTATATTTTTATGGTTTCAACAAAGGTACTCAAATAATAAAATGGTCATTATGCTTCAGTAGGACTTGCAGTGAAAATGAGAAAGTACAGAACTGCTTCACCGGGTACTTGATCATTTTATCACCATCAGTTGGCAAGACAACTGTCACCATCCTTGACCCCAATTGAAATCAGGAGGATATCACTGGAAAGTTACATTGTTCCAGGTTGAAAATAGGTACCCACCTCACACAGCTGGAAGTTCAAACGAGGCACCAGGCTGATGGTGAATTAGGAGGAAAGGGCCCCTATCCTCTTTAAGATCTCAAATTTAAGACCTTAATACTTAGGAACATTTTAGGTAGCATTGCTTCTGGTTTCCTGTCTGTAGTCTGTTTTCCATTAACTTTCTAAGGAAGGTCAGCTATAGGGAAAAGGCTGAAACTGTATCCCTTCTCCTGGCTGCTCCCTAGCACCTCCCCAGTACCACTTCTAGCCACTACCCCTTGGGAGTAATTAGTGGTCAGTTTGCAGGTAGGACTTTATTCTAGGGGCAGAAAATCTCTGGGTCAGTTCTTAGCAAACTGAAGCACTGTGCAACGGAGCCTTTTGTGTTCTTCAGCCAGATCCTTGAGCAACAAAATCGTACTGGAGGCTTCATGGATATCCTTAAACCATCCTTAAACCGTATCCTTAAACCATCAAGTCTGCATCCCTCCTTTTCCTGAGACCTGCCCAGCTACCACCACCATATCATTATCATAAGCTCCCCCCCACTCTCCAAAATCCTAGAAAATGGAAATTCTTAACCACATGAGTCACCTGGTTTATGGCCACCATTCCCTTAACAGATTCTCTCTCTCTCTCTCTCTCTGTCTTTCTGTTAAACTCTTAGCTTTGCCACTGTGTGTGTGTGTGTGTGTGTGCCCTGAAATTACCCTGCACAATTTTTGTCATGAATCTCTGCTGTTCAATTCCCTTCCTTGCTTTAGGCAAGCCCTGAATTATTCTCTGTCACCTCAATGTTTCCTCTTTTTAACTTTTATATAAATGGAATGACGTACTATGTCTTTGATTTAGCAAAAAGGTTTTGCGATTCATACTGTGGGGCTGGGAAGAAATGTGTGCGATCGACCCTGTGCTCTGTTGCTGATCATCTCGCGGTACCACTGCCAACATGCTTCATATTCCACTACATTATCTAAAATTTAAAAAGAAAAGACTCCTTTTTCTGATTATCAAACAAAATGTATTGGTATGGACCAAGCTTGAGGAAGCAAATGTAACTCATTACCCTTTCAGTTAAAGGAAGGAAGCTAGGCACCTCCCCCACCCCCAAGTCGGAGGTGACACACCCCAAACTATTCAT